TCTTCCTGAAATCCAAATCCCCAGTGCACATCTCTAGTCCTAATGCTAGTGAAATCTGTGGGCTTCTAGAAGGTGCTCCACTAGCATAGGGGCAGCATGCATCTGTCTTGCATATATTGTTACTCATGGGCATTATGGCTGTAATACACCATCCCTATCCACACAATCAGTTTTGTAAAATCCAAAACCAGCCTGAGGTAAGTGGATCACTTAAGTATGCAAAACGTCATACCAGCAATGGAGGTGAGATGGTAAGACAGTAAAAGCAGGTTGCTTACCAGTAACTGGTGATCTTCGAGTGGTCATCTGTGCATTCACACCAATGGGATTCAGTGCGCACACGCTGGATCGACCGGTGCTGTAGCAAGCTCTTTTAACCGATTTTCGCGCCCAGTCCCCATGGCATGCGCAGGAACCCCACTGCGCATGCCCAGAGGGGGTGGGCACGGACATCCCACCAGTTCCTACAAACCACCGCAAATCAACCCCTATTCCAAAATGTAGAAGCTGACAGCAGCAGGGAAGGAGGGCGGGTGGTGTGAATGCAGAGATGACGTGTCTGCGAAGTAGTGGCATGATCTGTTGAAGGGAGACCATGCGGAAGCAGTGGTAGGTTACGAAACGGTTCAGTTCTCTGAGGTCTAGTATGGGTCGAACGCCTCCGTCTCTCTTCGGGACAGTGAAGTAACGGGAGTAAAATCCCGTCCCCTGGAGGTGTGGTGGAACATGTTCGATGGCTCCCTTCTGCAGAAGGATGGACACCTCCTCGAGGAGAGGTGGGGAAGGGGGCGTGGTGATGACGACCGGAATATTGGGGTTCTGATGGAACTGGATTTTGTAACCTCGGGTCAAGACGGAAAGGACCCACTCATCTGAAGTGATGAGACGCCAGGCATGGATAAAAGGAAAAAGACGGGTATGAGCTGACTCGGTGGCAGGAAAGTCAAAAGCCCTGCTTGGAGGGCTTGGGCTGTTTGCTGTGGGAAGCCTGTTGTCCGGAACCGAACTTTGGTCTTTGGTAGGTTGGTTTTTGGCCTCCCGAAGATGTTCTTGGTCTCCACCTTGTGTCCGGAGACTGATGAGTTGGGGTGCATCTCTGCCAGGACCTGGACCAGGTGCGAGGGCGGTATTGTTGCCTCGCAGAGGATGAGACTCCCAGTGCTCGAGATGCTTTAATGCTCTTATCCAGTTCTTGTAGGGTAGAGTCAGTTGCTGCATTGAAAAGCCCCAGACCATCAAAGGGGGGTGTGTCTTCCACATATGATCTGGTGTCTAATGGGAGAGTGGTGTTGCGAAGCCAGGAATGTCTTCTGAGTGCTATCGCAGAGGTCATGGTTCTTAGAAGATGCCTCGAGGACATGTTTGGTAGTGTTGAGCTGTTGTTTTGCCAACACCATGCCTTCCTTTTGTAAGTGTCTGGCTGCCTGGAGTTTGTCTTCTGGTAGGTGGGTCAGAAGTTCAGAAAACCGTTCCCAGAGAGTATACTGGTACCGGTTCATACAGGCCAGGTAGTTAGTGGCCTTTACTCCCAATGCCCCTGTGGAATAGAAGCGCCTGCCGAATGCATCTAATTTTTTCCCTTCCTTATCCGAAGGTGTTGAGTGCATTTTCTTGGATTTTGACGAAGATGTTACAATCATGGAGTTTGGCTGAGGTTGTGAGAATAAAAACTAGGCCTCGGGCTCTTGGACCCTGTACATGTGGTCCAGTTTCCTTGTTGACACAGGAGTGGATGACGGTTTGAGCCATGGAGACTTTGCTGCCTGTAAAAGGACTGAGGACATAGGCAATGCTAAGGTGGAAGATGTATCCAGCTGTTGTTGTTCAGTTGCACAGTCGAGTCCGACTCTTTGCGACCCCATGGACCAGATCACGCCAGATCACGCCAGTATACAACATTGTATACTGAATCCGTTGCTTGCGGATTTTGTTGGACGACAGAGAGGCCTAAAGAGTGGGCCATTCTTTTAATTAAATCAGTGTACGAAGTGAGGTTGTCAGATGGAGATATAGGTAAATCCTCGGCGACATCCTGATTTGGAGATGCATGGTCAGGGGAGGTGTGAGCCTCAGAAGCCTCTGTATCTGAATCATCGTCAATAAAATCAGAAGAATCCTGTTGATCTGTGTGTTGTTCTGTGTGGTCCGAAGTATCTTGTTGGTACACTGTGGGTTTGGTTTGGGTGACAGGAACGACAGGTTTTGGTTCCACGGTGTGATGGGACGGCTCGACTGCAGGAGGACGTGATAGAGATGCTGAAGGCCTTGCCTTGAGAGGAGACCTAGACCTATGAGCAGAGCGAGAGGAATAGCGATTCCACTCAGAGTAGCCCGCAGGAGTCAGCCACGGCATGGATGGAGGATAAGCCCCATACAGGTAACGCAACTGTCTTTCATCCCACGCCATTGGTGGAGGGGGGGCATGAAGACTCTTGGGGAGCGACTTCTTGTCCGTGGACGTCTGGGAGACAAGGTGGTGTGTCTGCGGAGTCGTCCCCGTAGCTGCGGGTGTCGATATCGACAGCCTGAGTGTGCAGACGTGGAGGGTGACGCTGCATGTTAGGTAAAGTATATCAGTGCCGACGTGGATCGATGTTGGGGGTTTCCGATACTGTTGATGCCGACGAAGTTGAAGGAGCGGGGGAAAGCTCTGCACCCATTTGGTGACTGAGGAGCTTTGCCGTGTCGATGTCGGAGTAAGGAGGCTCCGCTTGGTGGACAGGGGAGTCCAATACATGGATGGTCGGTACTGGCGGAGGAACTTGGGCCTCCGATATCGATACTGCCGGTGGAGCGGGAGGCACTATAGGGGCATCACCCAGTGCAGGCACCGCTTCATTCCCCTTCTTCGCTGCCTTAAAGGACTTGGAGGTGCCCTTTTCCGAGGACTTATGTTCCGTACCTGCCTTAGCCATTTTCTTAATTGGCGTAGAGGCGGACGATCGTGTCTTCGATGTCGAGGGCTTCGGTATCGGGCGGTCGACATCGGAGGCAGGTCTCGATGCCAGAGCTGTCGACATGGACGGTCCCTCCTCCATCGCCGGGACAGAAGCAAGGGCGGACTCCAGCAGCGCTACTTTAAGGCGTGCCGCGTGGTTTTTTCTCGTCTGGTTGGAGAAGCGAGCACAGTGACGACAGGACTCTGGCTTGTGAGACTCTCCAAGACAAAAAATGCAGAGGGTGTGGCGATCTGGAGGAGCTAGGTTGCTACCACAGCGTCTGCATCGATTAAAAAATCCGCACTTCTTCTCCATAAGAAGAGAAGTGGCGGGGGGGGAACGGGTGGGGGGGGGGGGGGCCCAAGGCC